GCTTAAGTCTAACAGCACAACTGATGCAGTGCCAAGGGCCGAGTGGTAGTATTCCCTAACTGCACAGAGCAGTTACAGAGCCCCAGTTGGGGCCTGACAGCGGACTCTGCATTCCCACACCTGTAAAGTGAGCTCAGAAACAACAGTAGCAGCAATAACAAAAAACCAAGAAATCTCCCAAGATAGCATGCAACTAAACACCAAATGACTAGGGCAGTGTGTACAGGACAGACCTCTGTGCCTAACAGTAGCAGCAATAACAAAAAACCAAACCTCCCAAGATAGCATGCAACTAAACACCAGATGACTAGGGCAGTGTGTACAGGACAGACCTCTGCGCCTGGTGTGGTCAAGAAAGGTTTAGTGGTGTGAAGCTTGAAGGTGGTGTGAAGGCCAGGAAGGCCTTGAAGAGGTTGAATGAGGAACAAAGGGCATTCCAGGAAGGTATCCTGTGCAAGCAGGGGTTTAGGGATAAGCCTGGAAAGGTGCTCAATGCCAACCTTCTATCTTCCAGCTCAGAGTGCTTCTATTGGTAGGATCTTCAGGGAAACAGTGTAGTGTTTAAAAACCAGGTTTCTAGATCTGAAACCTGCCACTTCCACTGATTAGTTTTGTAACTCAGGTTAGTTACCTAAATCTCCTCAAATTTTGGTTTCCTTATGCCTAAATTAAGGCAAAGGACTATTACATCTCACTGTTGGTGTGAGAATGAAGTGGATATACCAGCACACCTCAGCACAACAGAGTAAGCACGCAATAAATAGTAGCTGTTGTAGGAAACTCTATAGGACCAATAGCTTGGTTTCTTCAAGAAATAAATTCAAGGTAGAGGGGCGCGTGGGTGGCTCAGTTAAATGTCTGCCTTCAGCTCAGGTCATGATTCCAGGGTCCGGGAATCGAGCCCCACATTGGGCACCCTGCTCAGTGGGGAGTCTGCTTCTCCCTCTCCTTCTGCCCCTCCCTCCACTTGTGTTCTCTCTCTCACCCGCTCACTCTGTCTCTCAAATAAATAAGTAAAATCTTAAAAAAAAAAAAAAAAGGAAGAAATTCAAGGTAGAGAAGGAAACACTACAGATTAAAAACCTTAAGAGATGTATCAACCAAATACAATGTATGGACCTTGTTTACATCCTAAATACATCAACTGCAAAAAAGAAAAAATTAGGACGCAGTTGGAGAAATTTGAATACTGATTGCAAATATGATGATATTAAGGATTACTGTCAAGTTTTTAGGTGTGATAATGACAATGTTGAGTGTGTGCATGTATGTTTTTAAGAGTATCATTTAGAGACACACAATAAAATATCTACAGTTAAAAAAAATGTGACATCTGAGATTTGCTTTAAAATAACCTGGGATGCAGGGGCGCTTGGGTGGCTCAGTCAGTTAAGAGTTGGACTCCTGATTTTGGCTCAGGTCATGATTTCAGGGTCGTGAGATCCAGCTGGCATCAAGTCCTGTGTCTGCCCACGTCCCTATTGGGCTCTGAGTTGGGCATGGAGCCTGCTTAAGATTCTCTCTCTTCTTCTGCCTACCCCCCACCCCGCCCCTGTTCACTTGCTCCCCACCTCTCTCCTAAAAAAAACAACAACACTAATCTGGGATGCAGATGAAGTAAGAATGGCCATTTGCTCTAAGTGTTACATACAGGTGGTGACAGATATATGGGAATTCACTGTACTATTCTTTCAGAAACATTTGAAATTTTCCTAAAAAAAAGTCTAAAAATAAGTTGAGTAAATGGTAGCTGTTATGATCACTACATTTTCATGAATATATGAGAGAATGTAAGCAAGGATATTGGTTTATCTTTTTTATCTTCCCTTCCCCACAGGGCCTCTGAGTCTTCTTCATATGATAAAGCTCAATGTAAACCTCTCTCAATGTAAATCACTCTCTTGCTCTTAGAACACTTTGATAATTTCCCTCTACTCTAGGGATAAGAACCCCAAATCATAATAGGGCTATTTAATTTTTAAAGGCCCTGCCCATCTCTTTAGCCTTGATTCAGATCACTTTCCTTTTCATATTCAGTGAATGACCTTTTTTCTGTTCCTCAAATGAGTGACATACCCACCTCTCGTAAACCCTCAGCATATGTTGTCCCTAATTTCCACAACATTCCTGCCCTCACCCCCTATCCTCCCAACCACCTTCCACCTAATTATCTCCTACTCTTTCTTCAGATCTCACCTCAATCTCCATTACATCCTCTAGCCTCTACTGACCAGCCCACTCCCAAGATGGGTAATTCTCCTGCATATACACTCACAGCCAGCCACCTACCTCTCCTTCACAGGACTTAGCACAACTGTAATATTAAAATTTGTTGTTATGTATCATTGCATTGCCAGCACTTAGCACAGGGCCTGGCCTAGAGCAAATGACCAATATTTGTTGAATAAACAAATGAGTAAATGATGATTCACTGACAAACAGGACCCCCTTCATATGTTCCCACTGCTGCCACAAGACCTCACTCAAGTGTTCTCCTATATGGCTGGCATTAAAAATCCCAGTTCTCCCCTCACCAGTCATCGCCCACGTTGAAGGCATTAAGGCTCTTGGTGAAGCCTTGCATATTGGTGGGGCTGACTCTCTGCAAGAAGTCGATGTAGTCCTCAGAATGAAAGCGGCACATGTCATGCTGGGAGGCCTGGTATGGCTTGAAGACCTCGGGATGGAAACATAAGGTGAACCCAGGCGAGATCAGTCCCATTCATCGGGCTGAGACTGCCCACACTGAACCCAGCCGGGTGGACTGTCCAAATTCACACACATAAGCAGTCCCCTCACCCCTCCAATCCTTGTTATTCTATTAAGCAAAGGTCAGTGAAGAAGAGAGGCTCTGATTAGCCAGGTGGGGTACTATGATCAAGTCTCCGAAAGAACAGTGCACTTGCCCTACTCCTTCCCACCTCCAGCCCAACCTTTCCCCACCTTCTCAACCTTGAGCCCTTATCCACCTACCCTGTTCCTTGGATCTCCTCTTTTTTTATTCTATCCATACTCATCTCCTCCCCCTGGCTCTGATTCCGTCCTCTCTCTTCTATGAATCCTGAATTTTAGAGTTAAATAATACGGGATATATGACAACCTTCTAATTAAAACCCCGGGGTGCCAAGGTGCTAAGCCAGAGATTTATTATCTTTTGGGGGGTTCACACACTTCTTTAGAAATTGGGCAAGAACAAAAAGCTTCTCTCCCCAGAAAATGCACACAGGTATGGACCAGCAAACAATTTCAAGGGCTTCACAGATTCATGCACTAACCTCACCTCAGTCTTTTCTAAAGCTAATTCACTGTCTGTGCCTCAGCACAAACAGTGGACGACATTCATTCATATTGTTGACTAATTCCCCTTGTGACGCATGAGGGCTGAGCTTAACTGTTATAATCGCCTATCACAACTATAAATTCCAAGTTGGGGATTGTCTATCTCCATGTGCATATCTGGGAGATGGAGGATTGAGTAGCAATTAAGTAGAACCCTGTGGGGGGTATTCTAAGTTGATAAGGAAATACCAGGACATCTCCTGCTCTCTTCCACACACACATACACATTTGCACACAGGGCTACAGAGTCCTCCCTGGAGCTCTAGCTCCTTGGAGGTGGAGAGAGGTGGCAAAGAAAGGGTGAGAACTGCGGTGGGAACACCCACATCCAGATAAAGTGATCCAGCCCCTCTCTCCTGAAGCCACAGCACTGCCCACATTCTAAGATGCTGGGGAGGAAAACACCTTCTCTCGTCAAACCAGCCCCACTCCACCCTAACCACAGGCCGGAGGTTGGTCTACCTGAGGTCAAAGGGTGGCCGACCTAAGGTGAAAAAGTAACTCCCATTAGGCCGGTGGATCCATCCACCTACATTCTGCATATGGCGGGTGTTCCTGGCTCCTTCCATCCACCCTGCCCCCCACCCCAAGGGTGGGTCGCACTTGGTGCATTCAGGGCAGCCCACCTATCCTAGGACCACACGGCTCGCCCGCACCCTCAATACCCAGGAGCGATGGCGAGACTCACGATCATCTTCTTATAGAGACCGTAGTGAAGGACCAAACTATGGGTCAATGCCAAGCGATGGGGCTTCATAGGGTGCCCTGCCCCTGGGGGTGGGAGAAGAGAGTTCGTCAGTTCCCGACGCCGGAGTTATAGCCCCCGCCTCGAAACCTCCGCGTCCCGAAGCTCCTCGCGTACAACCTTGCTCCCTCACCGTAGTGGAAGTTGCCCACGTCGGGGTCGTAGAAATAGGCCACGGTCTTGGCCATGGTGCCGGCGGGAGCAGGCCCCGCACCTCCGCCGCCCGCCCGGCCGCCTGCCCCACCCCCGCTCCTACGTGCTGCGTAAGCACGCAGCCTGCCTCTGCGGAACCGGGAAGTCCAGGCCCCGCCTCCCAGACCACGCCCCCTGCGGAGTTCCGCCCCTCGCTTGGCTTCGCCCTTCTAGGTTCCCGAGCTTAAGCTTCTGGGCTCTGCGGAGGACGGGTAGTATGGTCCTAGGATGCGAGGGTCGTTTCTTTCCGGGCGGGGGTCAAATCCTCGGGAATCCGAGATATCTCGTCCAGCCAGCTGCCCCAAATGGGGTGCAGGCGTTGTCACCAGTCTAGGAGACTCCAGAGAACCGCCACGCCGTCCCTCTCGGGTGCGGAAAGGCAGCTTCCCCTGGCCCGCTGGGAAGGTTCCTGGCTATCCACCGGACCGAAGCATTTGAGGGCAGGAGCCGCGCCAAGCATGCGGGATAGACCAGTGGAGAGCACTTTGTTCTGACTGCCTGTCCTCCCCACCCGGACCCAGACTCGGCGCCGCACACTCCCCCGGGGGGGCCGAGGGGGGGGCGGCGCAGTCACGCGCGCCCCACACTTGCGCTCACAAGCGCGCAAGGCTCTCGCTCTCCGCCCTGCACACCTGCGCTCCGCCCCCTGGTCCCGGGCTGGCGACTGGCGAAGGCATTTGGGAACCTAGGGCGGCTGCGGCGGCGCCCCCCACCCCCATCTCCTTCCCCTTCCCACAGCCAGAGTTGTACGGAGCCAGCCGCCGCTCCCAACTAGCCTGCATCCCTCTTCATCCTTCCCTCCCCCTGCCTGCCGCGGCACCGGTATCTGCAGCCGGAGCCCGGAGCCGGTGAGGCGGCGAAGGGGGGAGGGGGAGGAAGCAAGGGATGAGCGCCGGGAGGGCGTCGGGGGCCCTGAGCCGGACTAGGACGTCCCTGGAGCCGGAACCTGAGCCGGAGCCGGAGCCGGAACCAAACCACCGGTACCGAGTGGGCCAGGTGGTGAGGATGGGAGGAACCGAAAGGGGTGGTGTTGTGCGGGCATACAGGCAGGGGAGGGGGTTGCAGAGGCCTGGCTCAGGCCGGCGCGGAGGAGGTGCGGACGCTGACTCAGGCGCGATTCTTGAGCCGGCCGCCTGAGAATTCCGTCCCATCTCGCTCTGCAGTGTCCTTGGGAGGGACGGAAGCGCAGGACAAGCTGGAAAGGGGAACGCTCTGGGCGTCGGGGAAGCAGGATCAGGGTCGTGGAAGAGGGCTTGCGCAGCCGCCGTCTGGCACCCCTGCCCCGGACCAGCACCCTTGGCACGGACAGCTCCTTGGTTGGGTAGGGGGTGGGGCCGGACCTCAGAGGCTCGTCGGTTTCGGGTCCTGAGGACCGAATTCCTATCCCTCCCCCAGTCCCTAGCTGCAGCCCCCTAACCCCAGGAGGCTCCCTGGCCCGCGCTCGCCCCCCAGGGCCTCATGTCGGAACCACAGCCAGACCTGGAGCCGCCCCAACATGGGCTATACATGCTCTTCCTGCTTGTGCTGGTCTTCTTCCTCATGGGCCTCGTAGGCTTCATGATCTGCCACGTGCTCAAGAAGAAGGGCTACCGCTGCCGCACGTCGAGGGGCTCAGAGCCTGACGATGCCCAGCTCCAGCCCCGTGAGTGAGGAGCCTAGAACCTGGCTCAGTCACCTTTCTCCCATACCCTTCACCCCACACCTCTTTCTGCCTTCCTGGCCAAGAGGCCAAATCCTGACCAAGACTTCAGGAGGCTTAATGAGGCTTTCTTGAGTCAGCAAGTGGGATGACCCCACCCTGAAAGCAAGCCTAGGAAAGGCAGCATGGGTGGGAAGGGCCCACTGTTGGTAGTCTTGGGCTCCCACTAACTTTCCCATTTTTTCTGCCCTGACCCCTAAATGCTAACATCCAGCATGATGGCAAATAGACAAAGGGATAGGTCTTGAGCAGTAAGCCACAGAAGCCACCAGGTAATGTCCACCCAAAGCTGACTCATTTCCTGCTTCCTTGCCAACCTCTCATCCTTCAGCTGAGGACGATGACATGAACGAGGACACCGTAGAGAGGATTGTTCGCTGCATCATCCAAAATGAAGGTGGGTGTAGACTGGCCCTTTGCTCTCCCCACCCCCCCCCCCCCCGCCCCCGCTCAACTTCCTCTTGCCCTGACCTCCACCTCCACTGACTCCCTCTTTTCCTTCTCCCCTCAGCCAATGCTGAGGCCTTGAAGGAGATGCTGGGGGACAGTGAAGGAGAAGGGACAGTGCAGCTGTCCAGGTGAGCTGGAAACAAGGGCCAGCATGACTTAGCTTGCCTTGGAGAGTACCCTCTCCTCCAGCACAATCCTTTCCCAATGTCCTCGCATGTCTGGGGGCAGGGGGGAGGCAAAGCTGGCTAGCCTATATGAAGAAAGAAGTTTTATACAAATCTGAGTCCTTCAGACCATACTTCCCATCTGGATATCATCAAGCCTGACGTTTATCCCTGTGCCATTCCTTTGGGTTAAACATTGCCCTCTTTTTAGCAAACAACCCTGGGAAAAAGAACACATGACGACTAAAATCTTAATACTGTGTTTATTAGATAAATACAAGAATGCTGGGGCCTGGGGAAAGTGGGGCATCTGGGGGTTTAAGAAGCTGAAAGAACAGGAGCAAATGGAAAAGGAAAGGAAATGGTAATGTCACTCCTGCTCCCTTCTTCCCTGTTGTCCAGCGTGGATGTTACGTCCAGCCTGCAAGATGGAGCCCCTTCCCATCATCACACAGTGCATCTGGGCTCTGCAGCCCCTTGCATCCACTGCAGCCGCAACAAGAGGCCCCCACTTGTTCGCCAGGGACGCTCGAAGGAAGGAAAGAGCCGCCCCCGGCCTGGAGAGACCACCGTGTTCTCTGTGGGCAGGTGGGGATAGAAAGCCCCAGAAAGAGGGAGTTTGAGGTGGGAGCCCCAGTGATCAGGCGCCTGACACCAAAGGTGGGCCCCAGCTCTGCTCTCCTAGACTGTGAGCTATAGCAGAAGTCAGGCTGTACAATGTGCCCCATAATCTGGGGAGGTCTCCCCCCCTCCCCCCAGGCCAGAGGGAAGTGGCCATGAAACCCAGGATGTCCCTGGTTGAGGGGAAGCCAAGCAGTCTCTGAGTTGTGGTCGTAAGCCCCAGTGTTCCCTCCCTTCCCAGGTTCCGGGTGACACACATTGAGAAGCGCTGTGGACTACATGAGCATCGTGATGGCTCTCCCACAGACAGGAGCTGGGGGTCTGGTGGAGGGCAGGACACAGGGGGTAGTCAGGGGTCTGGGGGGGCGCCCAGGGCAGGGATACCTGCCATTGAGAGCGTGCCCCCTGAGAGGCCACAGCCCCTGGGCCTCGCCAGTCCCCCAGTACAGAATGGAGGACTCAGGGATGGCAGCCTAGTCCCTTGTGCACTTGAGGGGAACCCTAGAGCCTCTGCAGAGCCCATGCTAGGGTCTGGAGGGAAGGGCCCAAGCCCAGGACTGGCCAGGCGAGAGGCAACTGGACAGCCAAGCAAACTGGACACCTCAGATCACCAGGTATGAAGGCATGGTCAGGGCTACGGTGGGCTCAGCTCTTATTGCCTCCTACCCTGGGGGTGGGGGAGATGGCACTCTTATGACCCACATCCTGGTCTCCCATTGTTGACCACTTCTCTCTCACAGGTCTCCCCACCACGGGGAGCAGGGGGTGTGTGAGGTGAGTCTGCTTGGGCCCAAATCAGATAATCTCATTCTCCCACCCCTACACTCCCACCCCCTACGTACACCACCTAAGCCCATTAGCTCGCTGTACTCCCAGGGATGGCCTTTGCTACAAAGTCTTTGGTTTAGTGGTGGGGAGTGGGCATGTGCTCCAGGAGACAGGGAAGGTCCTGCAGCCCCCAGGGAAAAGCTGAGACACATCCTGAATAGGAACCAACACTGTTACCCTTCCTCTCCTCCAAGGCTCCTTCTTCATTGTGCTGTTGGGACTACGAGCTGGCAGGGCCAGGGGGTGGGTGGGCATGAAGGCGCTCCTTTCCACTGGACAGCACTGCCCCCCAGCTGAGGAACCAGCTCTACTTCCATCTGGAGTTGCATGGTTTCAGGCTGGGGGACCTCGGGAGAAATCTCCCCACCTCCATCCCTCAGTCTCTTTCACTTCCCCTGCCTGCCAACAGGCTGCCTGACCCCTTCCCCATCACCTCGCTCCATTTGCTAGAGCGTGGCAGCTGGGAGCAGGCCCCTGCCCTCAGTGGGCCCCTAAAGCAATAGCACCTTAGGCCCCCTGCCCTCTTGGCACAAGAGGCCCAGGCCCTGGCTTGGGCTTAGTGCCCTTTATTCACTGTCAATAAATCCGCTCAGACCATTACAGCTGTTTTGCATACTGGCTCCAGCTCCTTTTGACAGGCCTGCCCTTGTCCCAGCCCCCAACCCCAGTGGCCATGGGTCACAGACCCAGTGGGGTGGGTCACAGAGCCAGGGTGGAGACACAGATGGGCTGGAGCCACTCAAGACTTTGGAAGATGGGTTCCAGCCCCAGAGATTTCAGAATATTTCACCACCCTACAGATGGGGTAGTGGCAGAAGAAAGAGGGGTAGTTCCAGCCCTAGAGATAGCAGAAGTATCATGGGGGGAAAGGAGTGAGTTCCAGCCCCAGAAATGGGGAGAAGGAAAGTTTCTACCCCTGGAGGTGAGAGTGGAAGTGGGGGAGACTGCAGCTTTTGGCTGTGTCACTCCAGATCATTGAGGGGGTGGGTCTCTGACATCAAAGGAATAGGGACAGCAGCATCACTGGGGGGACAGCAATCCCCCTGGCTTCAGGTGAGAGAATCTGGGTGGCCAGGATCCGGGGCTTTAGCTGGTGGGGGAGGCGGTGGACGCATCTGTAGAGAACACAGAGTCAGTACTCCAGAACCCTCCCTTGGGGATATCCCTGTCCATTCCCTCAGCCCCGCGGACAAAACAGGACAAGTTGGAATGACACCATCTCCTCCAAGGGAGGGATCCTTACCGGCCTGAGTCGAGGTACCATCATGTCCGGGGGTCCAGGGCAGTCCAGGTCTTGGTCTGCAAACAAGAACCACAAGTCAGTCTTCAGGCTTTGTTTCGTTCATTGCTGCATCTCCTGCACTTAGGACAGTGGAACTCTGTAAATATTTGATGAATTAATGAAGAGTCCCTAATCTTAGAGCCATAAAATCCATCAATCCATCCATCCTCCACTCTTACTTGGCACCTTGCTGAGAGGGGGAGATGGACTCACAGCACCCCCACTCCCAATGGCTGTCAGCAACCTGAGAGTGAAAAACCAACAAACACAATGAATGACTGAGTGCTCAATCATTCCAAGTGAACTATAGGTGCCGGAGCAGGGGCTGCAGAAAATGCTCACAGGGACCTCTGGAATTAGGGAAGGAGGCTTCGCGAAGAAAGTGGAAGTACCAGAAGGTTTTAGAAAAGGCGGGCATTCCAAGAAGGAAAATGATGACACAAACCAAGGTGCTGGCAGGATTCAAGAACATGGAAGGCAGAGGAGGCGTAGTGGGAAAAGCTGGCTAATTTGTAAAATCATCTTCATGAGAAAACAGCTACTGGGGGCATGTGTACTATGTGCCAGGCACAAAGCTAGGCCCATCTTTCTAACTCTCACAACAACTCAGTGAGGTAGAGACCTTTCTCCTCACTCTGTAAAGGCCCAGGCAAGTTAAACATCTGCCCTAAACCACACACTGAGAAGTCACAGGCAAAGTCTCAACAACGCACTTGCCTCCCCTCCAAAGCCCAAGCTCTTCTCACCATCACGCTTCTGTGAGCCTGATGGAGGAGGTTCCTGAGGGCAGGCAGAGGAGCCAAGGGCAACCTTTCTCCTCCTTCCCGTCTCTTCCCCGCCCCCCCCCCCGCCAGGGCCCCCAGGGCCCTCTACTCACCCACAGGCAGCACAGGTGCAGGGGCTCCATCCAAGGCAGAGGTGGGCACAGGAGGTGAGAAGCTAGGAGGAGAAGGGGATGGCAGCATCTGGAAACGATGGGCACATGGAGTTATTCCTGGCACGTGGGAAGGTTTCACCACCTTTTCCTCTCATCTCGCCTTCAATTCCTGTCCCATCACTCCTTGATTTGGAGAGCGGCCAGATGCTTCTATCCAGGTGGGGGCTTTAGCTGATACACACTTCAATAGCCAACATGTACTGACACTATGTCCCAGACATTCTGTTAGCACTTCACATACACTCATTAACTCATTCCTCACCAGCATCCCATGAGGTAGGGATTTTTATGATTTCTCATAGAGGTGAGGCTCAGGTTAAGCCATCTATTGAAAAGCATGGAGTCTTTTAGTGGTAGAGTCCCGACTAGAACCCAGCTCTCCTGACTCCCTCTCCTAGGCTCTTCCTGCTGTAACAGTAGGTACCATTATATTAAAAGACCTCCTGTGGGTCACTGTGCTAAGGGCTTTACCTCCATATCTCTAGTCATGACAGTTGGGCTGCTGAGGTTGGTATTATTACCCCTGTTTTACATGTAAAGAAACAAGCGCAAGGGTATATCACTGCCCAAGGCAATGCAATACGGATCTGAACTCAGACTATCTAGCACTAAAGTAGGACCACCATACTCTTATGAAGACTGCCTGAGTTTCCCTCTTCTCTGCCCAGCCAAAGGAAATTGGGAGGTCCAAGCCAATATAGGAGGTAAACTGGGAGAAGGAAGGGGGCATTAAGATGAATATGGGGCCTCACTGGAGTGGAAGGCTCAACCTAGAGGTGCCTGGGGACCCAGGGAGAAGGAAGCCTCACCTGTTCAGGGTCTGAGAGTTCAGAGGGTCCTGGGGGGCCAAGCAGCTCCTCCACTAGCAGGGAGGGGAAAACCCCCACATGGCCCCCGAATTCTCCCCTCCAGAAGCCATCATCCACTCCATCCTGGGCCCGGGGCAGCAGGCGGATAAGCGCCCCCTCGGGGAAGCTCAGCTCCTCTGCACTCTGTCCTGTGTAGCTGTATAGGGCACGGGCCAGGAAGGCTGCAGAAGCCCAGGAGAGGTGGTGAGGGGAGTTGATGGGCAGTAGTGCCCCGGGGCCATGACACCTCAGGGCCACAACCACTCAAGGTCTCCTGACCCAGAATTTCCCATTCTCACCTGTGGGCTCTGCCCCTGAGGGATTGTCGCTGTCGTGGCCACTCTCAGGGAAGGAGAGGTCCGGGAAGTTGAGATACCGTTCAGGGACAAAGCCTGCCTCGCCGTGCTGGTTTCGAGCCTGTTCACCCAGCAATGTGGATAGATAGCCGACTTGCCTCAGCAGCCCGTGGCCCTAGCCCTCCTCCTTGGGCTTCTAGCTTTGTCTGGCTGAGTCCTTGCAAGCCACAGAGAAGTCCTTCCCATTGCCGTGCCCCCTGCCCACCACCAAGGTCAGAATCTAAGGTCCATACCCACCTTGACCCATTCATCAGCATCTCCCTCTTCTATGACCTCCAGCCACTCGCCCTCTGTGATAGTCAGCTCATCCTCATGCCCTGCCTGGGCCCCACAAGGAAGGATTCAGGACATGGCTGTCGCCCATCCCCACTTCTCTGAGGTCCCCACCCCCATGCCCACCTGATACCTGATAGCTGAACACCACATGTGCAGGGCAGGGGAGGGGCCTAGTGGCCAAGGCTGCCGGGGCAGGCTCCTCAAAGAGCTCCCCTGTCTCCTCACATTCCTCAAAGTCAGAGAGCTCAGCATCCTCAGCCTGGAGGGGATAGAGAACAGACATGATTGGGGGGGCCCACTCTCAAGTACCCATTTTATCTCCCACGCCTCCATTCTACCCTTAAAGAACACCGATAGATCACTCCCCAAGGTGGTACCACCCATCTGTCCAAAATATATCACAAGCAAAATCACCACAGAGCAGGGTAACACCAACAACAATCGCAGAATTACAGTACTGAGTGCTTACTCTGTGCCAGGTACGACGCTAAACATCTTATGTATAGCACCTCATTTAATCTTCACAATAACCCAGTGATATTTTACATAAGTGTATCACCTTGTTTTACCTATTTTTTAAAAATGTTTTAAAAAGATTTTATTTAATTGAGAGCAACAGCACGCACATCCATGTGTGCACACACTGGAGAAAGAGAAACAAGCAGACTCTGTGCTGAGCATGGAGCCTGATGTGGGGCTTGACTGCACGACCCTGAGATCATGACCTGAGTCAAAACCAAGAGTCAGATGCTGACCGACTGAGCCACCCAAGGCGCCCCCACCTCATTTTACTTATGAGAAAACCGAGGCTCAGAAAGGTCAAGCCACTTTGCAAGATCACACAGCTAATAGTAAGTGGAGTGGCCGGCACTTGAACCACGTAGAATCCATATTTGGAACTTTAATTCATAATTGTCATCCTACATTCATGATAAAAGTTCACTGAGAACACTCTGTGTTACAAACTATGCAAAAAAAGTATACATATTTCATTCCAGCCTCACAACAACCTCTTCGACTTTGGTACTATTGGGATCCCCATTTTATAGGGTCTGCCCTCCTCTGGGGAGATCTACCCTTTACCGTCCTGGGTGTACAGGGGTAGGGAGCAAAGGGCACTCACCGTGGGAGAGAGGTCCCTCTGGGACAGCCGGGCCTCACTGAGCCGTCGCTCCTGCTCCACCTCATCCTGGGCCTGGGTCATGGCTGGCTTCAGCCAGTGCTGCACATCGAGGCCAGCTCCTTGTAGCAGGGCCAGCCGGGCAGCCCCCTTCACCTGGCTCACCTGCCATGGGGAAGAGAAATCAATCAAGGCTATGGACGGGGCCGCCCTCTGGGCGGTGAGGGGAACCACCCCAAACATGTCTACCTTCTACCTCCTGCCTCCCTGCTCCCCACCAGGCAGATAGAGAGGAGGAGGGTGTTGCATGAGGAGGTGGGATCTCAGGGGTCCCAAGCACAGGGCTATGCCTCACCTGTGCCCGCCGGATGCTCTCCCTCACTTCCTGCAGCCGCTGATCGATACCTGGAGCCTCCCGCTCTGGAGCCTGCTGTCGCCTCTGCTCCAGCCGCTGCAGCACCTGGTTGCAAAGGCAGAGAACAGGGGTGGGTAGAAATCCTCTGCGGGACAACTGACTATGGACCTGGCACTTCGCTACTTGCTTCACATGCATTAAGTCACTTAATCTTCCTCATGCAGTGGGTACTATTATTGGCCCCACTTTAATGATAAGGAAACCAAAGTCCAGAGAGGTTAAGTCACTCCCTTGCTCGGGGTTACATAACGAGGAAAGAACAGAGCAGGATCTGAACCCAGGTGGGTCTAGCTCCAAAAGCTGTGCTCTTAACTACTGTGCTACACTCTTGGCCTAAAATACCTTTCCTTTCCTTCCTGCCTGCAGCC